GTAATTTTTTTCAAAGACACCAGAAGGATTTTTTGAAAATGGGAAGTGTTGGGAAGTGAAAAGGGATGCATTTCCGATCATTTCCACTCAAAATCATATTGGGCGATTTTCTAGCAGAAACGGTTTCCCGTCCTTTATTTAAATAAAAGTTCGTTATTAGAATGTTTCTTCATGTCTATTTGTAGATTTTATTCGGGGTGACACAAAATTTATTATAGGTAGAAAATTGGTACATTTTCTCTTTTTTTTCTTAAATAGACATGATATATCTGGAAAGAAGGAAAATCATGTGCAGTTTCAGCCTATCGTGTCTATTCAAGTAGAAAGAAAAAAAAATGTACAAATTTTCCACCTATAACAGATTTTGTGTGTCACTTGGAATAAAATCTGCAAACCGAGATAAGAGGAAGATAGAGAGACAGATAGAAAATACCTAACAACAGTAACGTAAACAACTTATGAATAAGTGATTTTCTCTTCTCTACCGTACTTTATAAAATTAACTTATAACACTAACAGTTCGAACGCCAAGTGTAACTATGTTTGTGCAGCAAATTACCTAAAAAAAAATCTTGCTAAACAAAAGGCAACCAGAATAAGTGGCTTAAAAGACATTTTTGAAAAAATGGTAAACGTCGCGATGAAAAAGCTAAAATAAAACATAGCAACCAGACAATTATAAATCTTCTCCTGTACACAAAAAATAGTGACGCTTTTCTAACGAATCTCCTTAATCTCCTTAGCGAAAGTAACTGTGATACGAACGAAATTAAGATTGTAGAATCAATACCTGATTCACCCACGGAATACTGATTGCTCCGAATCATCAGATCGACAAGGGTGTTGGTGGAGCTAGTTTATCGAAATGTATTGAATTAGACGATGTATAAACTGTTTCTGGTTACCAAATCACTGTTTTTTTTCTGAAAAAACCTTTCATGAGCTTATATATAGTTGTAAAGTGAAATTAAGAAACAATCATCAATGCACTTAGAATCCGTAGGCCAATCTCTACCATATTTGTTACTGGTTCACAGAAACAAATGGAAAATTTATCCCAAATTACGGTGAGTGTTGCCATGTAAAACCTCTATGTTAGTACAAAAAATCGAAAGTGCGTAGATGATTATATTATTTTTAAATAAAATAATTAGCCTTTTTCTATATCAAAAAAAGCTTACACGTCTTATTTCTTCCAGTATTTCGATTCTCCAGCAATTCCGAAAAAGTCAATTTCTAAACGTTTTGTTTATGGTTGGCTACTTGATGAGAACGGTAAACCACAGCATAAACGGTCCGACAGATAGCAAGGCAGATTAATGTGTATTTATCACAGAACAAACAAAGAGCTTAAATTGATATAAAAAGAACACGAAAGTCATTAAACATGGCCCCAGAAGTTGCAAACCGATAGCGTTCAGGATTACGTACCTCTCAGGAGTAGACAGCCCCATTGTTAAAATTTAGCTTGATGGCGTCAATAGTCGTAGTTGACTCCACTTACTGTTTGATTTTGTTTGGTGGTGTCAATAGCTCCTTGTTGACATCACCGGTGGTGACATTTCGATTTAAAAATCGACTAAATGTTCTTACAGTCCCAGGGCTCAATTAGAACACGAAAATGTTTCATGTTGACTCTTTTCTAGCGACATAGCCATTTTGTAGTTTAGAAAATTCTGTTACACATGGTTTTGTGGAGAATTTTTCCTTTTAATAAATACGTCTTTGTCTTACACGCTACTTTTTCGAGATTGTACAATTTATAATAAAAATGTATAAGTTCTAAAACGAAGAAAAGAGGTCCGAAAATCTTTAACTTTCAAGCACAAAACCCTGTATTTTCTAAAATTTGCTTTTCACGCGGAGAGCTACGACAAAACTAAGTCGACCATGTTAAAGAGCATCAAATTCTGGCCAAGATTCATGTCTTTGAGAACTTTTTTGATCAAAAAATGAGTAAAACATTTGGCATAAAATTTTTTCGTTTTCTCGAAAAAACTCTACTTTCATTTCATGTTTTTGATGCTTGCACGAAAACGCATGCCATTCAAGGATATCGGAAAGAGCGTATTTGAAAATGCCAGCTTGAAAATGCTTCCTTAATTTAAGCCTGTGTATAAATTGTCGAAACATACTCCAAATGTTAATGCATTTTGTGCTTGAACGTTGAAGATTTTCGGACCTCTTTTCTTCGTTTTAGAACTTAGCGATTTTGTAGTTTACAAAAATCTTTTACACATGGTTTTGTGGAGAGTTGAATGACGATTCTGATGGGAAGAAATTGCCCGATCAGATTTAAACTGACGAAGTTATAGAAGAAACAATATAGTCCGTTTTATTCTGCGACACCTGTTAATAAGATATATAAAACAAAATACAAAGGTACTGTTTTCATAAAAAGCAATAGTTTTATTTATTGAACAGATTATAAAAATAAACATCCATAAAATTGAAATAAAAAGTATAAATGATGCATGGAGCATGGTATTGTTTCCTGTATTTAAGTTATTGGAGAATCGACGAGTAAAACATTGTTGATAAATTGTATAAAAATATCTAAGAGACTTCTAAAAGCTTTAATCGTTCGGTGTTGACCAAATACTTATCTAAATGCGCGGAAAATTCGATGCTTTCCTGTTCTCGCAATATAAAGATACATTTAAAAATAATTTTGATCGTGATCTAAAAGGAGATAAAAGAAGCAAAAATGAAGTGCATTTTATCTTGAATAGAATTTTTTAAGACACGCTAATATCATTCTTGGCACATTTTTCGACAAGCATGCTGGTTTAACAAAGGTAGAACATGGAAGCGGAAACGCCGTTATTTTTGTGTCGATTTTTCGAAAAGGCTGACTTGAAATTACATAGAATCCGGTCTCCTTTCCGATGCTGCTATCCCTATCATGTTAAAGGATTCCGCTGGATAAGATTGGAAGTCTGCCACCTCTACAAGCGGCCACTTTCAGTATATCGTTAGAAAGCCCTGACTTTGACGCACGTGAATCTGATGTTCGATTCCCCAAAGGTCTAAGTGCATATAGACAACAACGGTTTTTTTTAATTGTAGTACGTCATTACCGTTAGATTTAGTAAAACTACTATATCTCAAAACCTTGAAGACTTTTGAAAGTGGTTTTCGCCATTACATTTACCACATATTTTTCTATAACAGGGCAGTAATTAATTTTTGAGTTTTGTGTTTTTCTTTCAAAAAACTTTGAAATCCGCTCTAAAGTCATAGGTAGGAGAAATAACACTACTTAATAAAACTGTTACAAGGTACGAAAACCTTTTTCGGCATAAACCAGAATTTATCAGAAACATCCATGAATTCCGAACTTTTGATTAGAGAGATTTTAAGCAAAAAATAATCTGTGCCAAGACGCAGTTTTCCATTATTTACTTTTACTATACGGTTTTTAGTTATGGACCATATGACAAAAAAATCTGTTTCCTCATTTATTTTTTACATTTATTCAAACGTAAAATAAGGTTCGTAATTTCCAGATCAAATTCTAGCAGAAAAATGTGTTTGATGATTATAGACGATCTATGGTTCTAGCTCTAAAAGCATCTGATCTAAAAAAGGTGAAATTCTGCTCGTTATCGACGATTTTCACTTCGACGATGACTCAAAAAAACTTGAGTAGTATCTCAGATTGTAGAGCTCATCTTCCTCTACAAAAATGGTCTTCATCACTTTTCTACAGACAGGACCTTAGCGCATATATCAAGCATTGCTATTTCAGCAGGTGGTGGATTTAACGGCAACATAGATATGCTTAGTACATTAACGAGCCTATTTTTTTCAAATATCAACATGAAGAAAAAAACAAATTCATGTAGAGTCCGAGAAAAGCGCTTTTTCGTATTCAGCGTAGTCGATAATCCCGAAGATGTTCTATGTTTGACGAGGCATATTGTCAAAAGTTTAGGAAAAGTTTTTGAACAAAATAGAGAGAAAAACTTTCTGTGGTAAAATAATATAAGATTCAAAATTTTTCTTGAAATTTTGACAATATCTCTCACCTGAAACAGAAAACCATTGAGGTTATCGAGTGTGCTGAATATGAAAAAGCCCTTTTCTCCGACTCTGCATAAACTCTATTTTTCTGTCGGTAATATGAACAACAGATATTTAGTTATTTCTATATCTGCTAGTTCTAACAGAATAATGGACGTCAGCGACAGGAAACAGGAGCCAGAAGAATTTCATTTTTACATGATCGATGTAGATGATAGCGATAGATTATCAGGATTATCTGAATGTCACGTTCATATCTCATTCTTATTAATCATCGCTTCTTATACTGAGCACTGAGATATCCATTGTCAAATTTAAATTTTCGTTGATTTAAATATGGATCCGATCGAAACTCGTCATTATTTGGCACATCAGCTATAGACATTTGTATCGAGACCATGAATTCTACCAATTTTGATAACGATCCATGCAGTAGCAACTGTTTCCATCGTTCACTAGTCAGAAATATAGGATCTCTTATGCAACCACCGATCGATAATTGTTTGACATTTGGCACAATTTTCAATGTTTCACACAAATGGTCAAACGATAAATTAAAGATCTTTAGATTTAAACGAACAAGATTAAAATGCATAAACGACGAAGTATTCAACAGTACACCAAATGATATCAGATTTTGGTGTAAGGAAATATTGAGCGAACGTAATTTTGGCATTTGACGGACTAACGGAATGAAATCAAAAACATTTGATTGACACCCTGCAAACGTTAACGTATCTAAATTCGATATATTCAGGAGACTTTCTAGAAAAGAGAAATAGGAATCTCATTTGTCAGTGGAGTATGTTACATTCGCTGTTCATCTTACCTGATATTTTGACAATTACATTAGTTCCTGAATCGATGACAGCTGACTTCAACGATGGAATATCGTATAGCAGCAGCCGACAAGCATGATGAATATCGAGGGAGAAGAAATACTGAGTCAGTGTAACATTTATAAACACTAATTGATGCAAACGTGTTAGTTTACGAACAATCAATTCCAGTTGCTTAGTTGTAATTTCATTTAATGTCAGTGAACGAAGAGCCACCAGTTCATCGAGAACCGTTGATGCTGTAAATCTAGGAATACAGCTGTCACCCGACACTGTTAATGAGATAATTCGATTATATTTATTTCGCATCATACAACAAAAATAAGAAAATTTTTTCGATGTTGATAAATTAGTACGATATTTGACTGATCTGTTATCAATCAATGCATTCAAACGAAAGTTCTGATTGTAAAATGAGCGACATAAATTGTAAAGGTCAATGTACTCAAGTAATTCCATCAACAATTCATTTGATAGATATTCCAACTTTGTTACATCAACTAAAAACAGGCTTTCTGACCTTCGGATTTAATGTGTGATTATGTCACTGCTTACCATTTTTTGCTTTTTTCGAAACGCTCACCACTGCCTCACTGGTCATTGCGCGTCTGTTGTTTACCTTTCGATTTCGATTTGGCAGCATATTTCTTAGAGAATAGCTAATATTTTAATGTAACTTACGCAAGAAAATTTGTCAGCGCAAATAGAAAGACAGGGCTATTCTCTTGACTTTAGTCTAGACACATAAAAGCTGTTTGTCCGCAAAATGTGGATTACAAGGCGGATGGTGGTGTTTTATGGACTCACGAATTAGAAGAAATTTAATAAAAGGGAGGAAAAGCTCAAGGAAATAATACAATATAATCGACGGCTATGAGAGAAATAAACGCAATGAAAACAGAGCTTTTTATTCAGGAGTGGACAGATGTCACTCACGTATAACACGTTTTCATGAGAGGCATATAAAGCGTCGAGAGAAGCTGAAAATTTCGGAGTAGAGGTTTTATACATGTAGAATATAGAATGGAAGCATATAATAAGAAATATGTCTCCGTAGATGCATATAGAGAAAGGATGGAAAATACTCAATCACGGATTAACATAGCCGAGAAAGAAAACCGTTTCGAGGCCTTAAAGCAAAGGGATTCGTCTGCCCGGTCAGAAACGTCCAATCAAGGGCGCACACATATGAAAATTTGACTTCCTGGAGAGAAGCTCTTCAAGATTAATTCACTAATGTCAACTAAGTTCAACGTCAAACTACAAAACGTGTTGTTTGTCCGCTGTATGTTATGTCATTTTTCCTTGTTTTGGTTTCCTTCTGTGTGCGGTAGTGAGGTTGTAAATACTTTTTATTTTTTTTTCAATTTCTTCTTATTTCTGTAGCATTGAGCTGACAATAGACATTTAGGGCTTTCCTTGTAAATTCTATAATTTTGCAAAGAAAGGCCGTGTAGAGCTGGGCGATGTCTCATTTTAATCACTCTTCAAAGCTATATTAGGTTGCCTATTTTCGAGTATAATTAAAAAATTTATAATCCAGTCAAGATCAATATAAATTATGTTAGAATATCAACATGTACTCTATTTTACCTACTCAAGACGATTTTTTACTTCAGAATAGTAAAAAACATTCTTGTACTTCGAAAGATTTCGAGAAAACCTTTTCAAAAGCCAAAGTATTTTCTGTTGATTTTTAAAGCTTTTATTGAACTGCATGGTATTGAGCAGGTAAAATAGAGTACATCTTGATATTCTGACATAATTTTGATTGATCTTGACTGGATTATGAATTTTTTAATTATACTCGAAAATAGGCAAAAATGAGTTATTTCACCTAATATAGGTTTTCAGTAGACTGTTGGAGGTTTTCTGAAAAAAAGATATTGCCACGAGATTCAGCGTGGTTGATTACCTATGATTCCATTATTTTCGGAATTATCACACCTAAAGAAATGCCTAGGACTCTCAGCCAATCCAATGCCACGCCTGAACCGGGAAAACTCAAGAGTTCGCTTAGTTCGCATTTTTCAAAGGACACTTTGGACTATCTATCTATGGAAAAAGACTGATAGATTGCTATCTCAGTTTTCGGAGATCCGACGTGCTTTTCCAAAGATCTCCTTCCATTAGTTTCGGAAAAGAGTTTCGCTTATGAAAACATAGGTTAAACTGTCTTCTTTCGATTGTTAAAAATCGCAAGTTCCTATCTTACAACAAGGTCCAAAGTTCGGATCGCGATTTAAAGAAAAACAGTCAGAAAAGCACAAAATATACTCTAATACTACGTTCATTCTAAAATTGACTCACATTCTCAGAGTGTCACTGCGGCACTTCAAGTGACCCTTCGGTCATAAGTGCACACACTTGAAGTGAGATTTCCCTTTCTGAACTACAATGACAGGCCATAGGAATAAAGAAAAGGTACTGAAATAAACGTGCAAAGTTTCGTGTTCAATGTGTAAGGTGCTGATTGAAATGTATGAAGCGCGATACGACGGAAAAGTGCTGCAAAGACTTTTTTTACATTAGCGCGATGCTTAAGTCATTCGAAAAAAATCATCTTCCTTGCCCTCTTGTAGTTGAAAAACCGGTCGTGTAAGAGATTGCGTCATGCTACTCAAATCAAGTACCGCCACTGATCTCTTCAATTTGTCAAAACTGTCCTTGCCTCTTTGCTTCTATTTCAAACCTCAAATCTTTCGTTTCTTACCATAAACTATTCTCAAAAACATTATTTCGTCAATAAATTACCGTGTTATCATAATATGATGTTCATCACTGTTTGAAAGAAGTTCTGATTAGGGATGTTCGATTCTCGGTTCTTGTGAAGAACCGGAACCGCGGTTCTCCTATTTTCCGTTCTTTATTGGGACCGAAATCAAGGTTACTTTTTCGGAATCGAGACTTTTTGTCTTGCCTTTCTTTTAACAGGATGAAAAAAATGGAATATTTTCCGCTTGTATTCTGACGGAATAAAGCTTATATCAAACATACTATTTAAACTTCATCGAAAAGATAGTTCTCTTTCCTATTCTGTCTTTTGTGACACAAAGAAGTCTACTTCGTCTTCAAATATTTTTCGACGATTTTGCTGGATTGAAGCAAAATAAATATCATATTTATGTTTGATATTTGTTAGTGCAACTCTTTTTCATCTTTACTTAATTCGTTTTCACATAGGTATGTAGAAAATGGAAGGTCAATTAGATATCCCTCATCTTTCAATAAGAGGATCATAACAAAGGTGGAGCAAATTTGTTCGATAGGTAAAGTCCCTTCTGTGAACGATAAAAACATATCTAATTAACCAACAACATATATTATCCCTAACGACGATGTTTACTTTGCTTCAATTAAAGTATGTCGTCAAAAAATATTAGTAGATGTATGTTTGATTTACTCTTATAGAACAATACTCCTGAAATACATGTAAAAATATCTCATCTTTCGAATGATGCCAAAGACTTTCTCAGAAACCATTTTTAGGAAACGAACAACGGTGATGGGCTCAAAATATGGAAAAAAGTCCCTGCATGAAACTTTCTCTTTTTAACGGTATTCTGTAATAAAAACAGTGGCAGATTCAAGATGTTTTCTTTGACGGTTTTGAGAAAATGTAAAAGAACTTTTTACAACGTGATCGAATGATGTCTGTTTAGCTCGATAGTCTTCTAGTAAATATGGTGATCTTTGTCGGTCAGCTATGATAAAAAAAGAGGCCTGCATTTGTTTTAGACCGGATAACATCAAAAGAATACACTTCCCTGTCGTTGGGAAAGCATCAACGTACTTTTCAATGACTTTATTACCCGTACAAATGAAAAAGAAAACCGATAAAAACAAGCGGCAGAAAATCCCTTTCTCTGATTAGTTCATTCACGTTTTGCCTAATGCACATTGTATTCCTCCGAGCAAATGTTCACATATTGTGGATCTGAGTAAGATTCGTCTCTGTGACTTAATTGCGTATAAAACGAACGACCACCACTATAATCATGGTAGCAACTCATAAGATGAAACGCTCCATTTTCTCCTCCTGTGTAACTATTTTCATCAATGGTCATCAATACGTGTACATCGTCCCACTGAGTTGATTGAAAATTGAACCAATCCATCGAAACGTTCCCATTTTTCTGGCAGATGTTTGGTGGCAATGAAACTTCTATCTATAACGTTTAATACAGCACTCTGTTCCACTGGATGATTCAGAAAATAAGCCCCGACTAGTTTATTGTACCAAGGCCGTGCGTATTCAGTATCCGTTGCAGCATGAACGCCAAAATATCCTTTTCCCGATTGAAGAAAGTGCATAAAAGCATCTTGCTGCTGTTCGTTCAAAATATCTCCTGTTGTACTGAAGAAAACAACTGCTGCATATTGTTTTAAATTGTTTTCTGTAAATAATGATGCATTAATTGTCGTATGCTCGTCAAAACCGTTTTCTTTCCCTAATTTTTGAATAGCTGCAATCCCCTTTTGAATAACTGAAAAGTAGCAATCACAATGGAGGAAAATACAAAATAAGTTAGCATATTACTTCACCAGTGCCATATATTGGGAACGCTAATAAATATAATGACAATTATTTACATGAATTTTATTAATAATTAAACATCAAATTAGTATGAGATAGTCAAAAGTTGATCGATCTGTAGGTTCTGGAAGACATGAAACTAGGTGGAGTCTGCTGTCTGTCAATGACATCTTAACTAATGTTACTGGTTATTAGTCGTCATGGAGGCCTACATGACTGTTAATAAAGTTATTGTTAGCAGATTAAAACCATATTTTGATAATCTCATAACTTATAACAACAAAATCAAGAAATATTAGTTTGAGGACTTATTTGATGACAGAGATAAGAAAGGACGCTTGCTTACGCTTTGATTTATAATCACGAAAGATAACAGTGTTCCCTTCTTATTGTCCTTTTAGATGTTATTCAAAATTCGCACAAAAATTTTCAACGAACAAAAACAAGCAGAAAATGATCGTCTTCGTCCACTGTTATACCCATTCGTATTACCCATTAGAGATCGTTGGAGTCCTCCATAAAGATTTTTCTACTTTCATTCACCCCTTTGTTTTGCTCTCATTCATCTATATAAGAAATACTGAAAATATGAATGATTTTATGATTATTTTTCTTCCAGACTCTGCTAGTACTCTCTGTCGAAAGTGTTTAACAACTTTTTAGAGAGTGTACATGTAGGTCAAGGTTCATAGTTGGACACCCGAAAATATGAAATTTCTCTTCATTCTTCAGCACTGTTTAGCTGCTGCTTTGGATAATATGGATTAAAAACTCAAAAATTCTCATCAAATCTCGAATGAATACTATTTAAAAAACATCATCGTTCTTACTATTAAGATCCTAATAGTTTCTTATCTAATCTTGAAAAACTCTTAGACAATATAATCTTACGAGGAAACCATTCCAACTGTCCGATCGCTCTTTTCACGAAACCTAGTGGACAATAGGTAATCGGGTGTGCTGAATCCGAATATCATAGTGGTTTGGACGTCTATGCCTCCAGAGATCTGTTTTCTGGAAAACTGGTTTTCAGAGACTCTAAAGGATAACCAAAACCTTTCTTAATGAGGCACTATTGTAGCACGCACATGTCTGATTAAAATGAGATATTTTCCAGCTCTACACGACCTTTCTTTGCAAAGTTAGAGAATTTATAAGAAGGGCCCTAAATGTTCATTGTCAGCTCAAAGCTACAGAAGTAAGAAGAAAAAGTAATTTAGGGTTTTTTGTAAATTCTCTAACTTTGCAAAGACAGGTCATATAGAGTTGGGAGAGATCTCATTTTAATCAGAAATATGTGAACTACAAGCATGGCTTAATAAGAAAGGTTTTGATTCCTTTTACAGTTTGAAAAACTGGTTTTCCAAAAAACCGGTCTCTGGAGGCATAGATGCCCAAACCACTATGATATTCGGATTCAGCACATTCGATTACCTATTGTCCATTAGGTTTCGTGAAAAAAAACGATTTGACAGTTGAATGCCTGATATCTCGCGGTTTTAGATATCAACAAAATACACGAAATTTTAGTAAAGTACACGAGATATTCGGGTACTAAAAGTGCGATTTTAGTGAATCCATGAGATATTAGCATATTCATTGATCACAGTGTATTTAGGTATTAATAACTCACAAGATTTTCGTACGACTGTTTGTAAGCACGGGGCATTCGAAAAAATATAACTCGGCTTCAAGGATTTCTTTTATCTACCAACAATAAAAGACTACTAATAAATCATACGTTTAGTTCCTTAATATCTCGTGTACTTTACTAAAATCTCGGGAATTCTTAATATCTAAATCAATATGCTAATATCTCATGTATTCACTATAATCGCACTTTTAGTGCCCTAATATCTCAGGTATTATATTAGTTTCTCATGTAGCCGCTAAAATCTCGTGGATTTCACTAATATCTCGTGTATTTTGTTGATATCTAAAATCGCGAGATACCAGGCATCCCTCCGCTTGAAACATAGTGGACTATAGGTTATTTTTGGTGCTGAATCTGAATATCGACACGAGAGCGCCTAATATGAGCTGTGAGACTCGGTTCTCTAGGAGGTTTTACACGGTCAACAACTTTTTCAGCCAAAAAATTGTTTGGATTCACCCATCTTGTAGAACACACCAGGCTACTTAAAATTTTTACTTTTAGAATAAATCTTCAATTTTTCTTTTAAAAACATCCTTCATACGCTCGTTCATCAAACATATCTGTAACTTTAGATATTCTTGGTTCCTCAAATTTATTTGTCATATCTTAGTTTTTGATGAATGCCATTCGACTGTTCGTTGATCATTAATAACTGAGTATGATAGAAAACATAAATGTGCTTTATTATACTTAATTTCATAGTCATGTTGAGGATGGTAGTTCCAGAAACGTTGACAATGCAGATATTCAAAAAAGTTATAAATATTGATGATACTAAGGAAAGTGATGGAATACAAGCATAAGCTATTCCTCTTGGTGAATATGATTACCACATGCACATGCTAGACAAAATGAAATAAATCTTGGAAAAAGCCAATGTCAGTGATAATCTTCATTATTTATTACCAGTATTATTTTTAGAATTATCAAGTTCATTTATATTATAAAATCTCACAAAACGTCAAAACCAAAGAACTTAACTGTGTGTAAACAAATACTATATATGGATGAAGAAAGAATGCTGACTCAACAGGGACTGACGAGGGAACCTCTTGAGGTGATTAAAAGCTTTTCGACTCAGACTATTTTCATCATGTAGGGAATAGTCAGTAGTGAAAAATTCCAAGTTGGTTTGGGCCCATGCGGCTTTTTGACGGAGATATGAGTTAATTAATGAAAATGTCATTAATAATAATTAATTAACAGCTCACGACCATGATCAGCTAAGAGTCGGAAATTTACACCACAGTTGAAGATAGATGTTGTCTACTCACTAAACAGGAAAAGGAATGTTAGCTTGTGTCAGCAATAGCTGATATAAGACGTGGTGTTCCTCAAGGGTCTACCCTTGGGCCGTTGCCGTTCTCAGTGTATATGGCCGATTTGTGCAACAGTATTATGAGTGATACTATTATGATACTATTTGCAAATAATGTTTTACTCTATACTCGAGATATCGACATATTACGATTAGCAACAGCGATAAATAACGAGTTCGTCACTATTAATCAGTGGTTAGAAGACCGAATGCTCTCGTTAAATGCTAATAAATGTGTAGCTATGTGTTTTTCTCTAAAATATTTAACAAAAACTAAGCCTATATTAACTCTTGGTACCAACGTTTTAAAATAAGTTGATGTTCACAAGCATTCAGGTTTAATTATACCAAATAAATCAGACTGAAGTGAACACATTAATTATATATTGATAGAAACAAATTGATTGGTATACTAAAACTGTTTAGCTGAATTTTAACTAGACAAGCATTAAATATAATACATAGTTCATTCATAATATCCTATGCTGACCCTTATGCTGGCATCATCTACGGAAACACATCAAAAATAGGTATGAAGAGACTTCAAAGCGCTCAGTACTAAGCTGCACTTGCAGTAACTGGTGCTATTCGTGAAAGTAACATGCAGGATGTTTTAGCAGATATCGGTTGGAAACTGATTGAATTGATTGAATCGATTAAATTGGTTCAGAATAGAGAGACTAACTAAATTCCAAACTATTTTAGTTAAACAGTCTTCATCCTATCTTTTTGAACTAATTCCTAAGCCAGTAAGTCCACAAACAAAATATACTCTTATAGTCAACACTCAAATAGACGACGCTTATCTAACAGATGTTTGGAAGCAGTTGATGATTCCTTTTTCTATAGAAAGTTTCGTGAACATTCTGAATTACCACTAGAAACCTTGTTTATCTTAAATAAAATCCTTTAAAAAAAATTATTACAGCACAGTTTCCCATTTCAGAAGAGCACATGAGTAAAATCAACTATTGTCATTGTCGCATAGGCCTTGCACAATTGAAATATGATGTGCACAAACGTAGGCTACCAGATGATCCTGTTTGTGAATGTGGAGAAACTGACACCATTGAACACTACATACTACATCGCCATCTTATCGATTACCTTTTGCCCATATTAGTCGATTAGATATATTCTATGGCATTTCCTAGAGATGTCTGCTCGGAGATAGACACGTGCTTGGGGAATGCGAACCCTGTCAAAATGACAATAGCTGGAGAGTGGGTACTGGGATTTTGTAGAATAACGTCCGGACTACCTACGCATGCAAAAGAACTACTAACTTTGAATGTTAGTTTTCTGAGAACGGAACTGGTTTTCCAAAAGTTTTCTGGAAAATCGGACTTTTAGAACATTTTGAAACAAGTTTCTACTTACCTGTCTTAGGATCTTAGGAACACGATGATGAAAACCGCAGGTCGCTATCTATAAGTGTGATTGAGTTATTCCAAAAGTAACCGATGGTCTGGTATTTTGGGACGGATAGTAGTTATATCATTCGAGCTTTCGCTGTACACTCTTTTTCATAATCGGTTCTGTATGAAAGTGATTACGGAAAAAACCATCTGAAAAGTAGCCTGTTTTGTAAGCGGATCTTTCTGTCACGCACAGCTATAAAAATGATCACTTAGGTACCAAAAGATTCAGTTTTATAAGCTCTACGAAATCCTATAAATGAGATAAAATAATAACATTTAGTTTTGTTACAAAAGAGAGTCAGTTTATTTCTAGTTTTCTATAGACGTTTACAATCTTTATTTATGGAACAAAACAAAATAAAGCGAGCCTATGTATGATAGTGAGGTAGTGCGCACTGTTTTCGAGTTTGTTGTCTTTTATGGTACTACAGCTGATTTCGTTGGTTTTGTCTTCATTTCCATCTTATTACTACGTACTGATTGTTTTCTTTATGAGTCTTTTGCCAATAAATGTTTGTTGAAATTCTTTTTTGTATGATGTCGATGGTAGAACGTAAAGGATAAAGCCAAGGATCTGTGGCAAATAGGATAAGAAATATGTTGCGAGTAAGATATAACGTTGCCATGCTTGTTTCAATTCCGTACAAGCATAGGTAAATGACAGGATAGCTTGTGGTAGTGAACTTAGAGCAATAATAATCGGTGTGACATAGTGTTCTTTTTGTGTTTTGAACTGTTTTTTAAATAAATCAATGAACGTTTGTTGTCCACCAGTTGTACGCTGACGACTACGAGCTGTTCGAATAATGAGGATAGTGGCTGATACAACTTGACTTATAAATGGAATGAAATAATGAACAAGGACATTAACACGGTTGTACACTGAGATTAGTGAATTCGTGTAGGCAGTGACACATAATGTAACTTTTCCCGATGGATCGGATGGATCGAAGATTGTTGTATAATGAAGTATTTCATGCACATGCATACCAAAGATTGTAAAAATAACCAATAAAATCAAAGAGAGTGCCACACGTGGTTTCTTCAATGTTGTTGATGTTGGAAATAAAACCATACTAAGACGTTCAATGGTTACAAGAGTTGTAAGCCAATAATTAATGCGTGTAAATACCGATAACAAGTAGGAAACTACCGCGCACCCGATCATATTAAGTGTCTCAAGATCAGCAAGCACACCAGTGCTGCTTAGAATGATATGGATAATCTTGAATAATAGAACTAACAATGAACACTGGTTGGTAATTGAGACAAATAACAAATAATTACCGACGCCGAATTGACGTGACTTTGGACGAAGAAAGGTGAGAAAACTGCAAATATTATTGAATAAACCAAATAGAAAGGCAACAACGATAATAGAAATGTAGATACTATTCGACGTTTTTGGACTATGTTGTAAATCTTTAACAATTAATGAATCGAGTGTAAAACTCATTAATTCGGTAGAAAACTGGCACAGTTGTCCATGATAACAGCGAGGACAAACACAGAGAAAGTCCGATCGATTTTTTATGTTTCCTTGGACACAATCACCATTGGCTAAACATCGATCGCATATGTACGAATTCGGATTAAAACGTAAACAGTGAGCACGATACTCGTTTGCGTGACACAAACAGAAATATGTATCATCATAGAAACATATTAATTTTGTTTGACTTAAACGACATAGAAAATGGTATTTGAAATGATAATATGTGGCATTGTAGCGAAATTTGTACGATGGATCTTCTGAAAGAAACAAGAAAACTGTAGCCAATGACTGTACTAAAAACGGATTAACAATTTCATGTTTGGCAATTTACGTAGAGAGTATGATTTAGATAAGATGCACCTAGCGCAAAGGAGTAGTGGATTTTTTTCTTTTCTATCACATATTCGGATAGCTGAGATGTTGAGAATCACGAATAAGTGTTCCCTGAATCTTTTGGAAACTTGTTTCCGGTCAAAAAATCGACAAAACTCGAAGGTGCTCGGAAATCCGAGTTTTCGCCACTGTTTTGAAAGTTGATTTTTTAAAGTCCCGTTAGAACTTTGGAAATTTTAAATATGATATTCTTGTTCGGCATTGAAAACTAAACTAGGAAATGATCCGAGACTCATCTCAGACCCAAGCCTCTACCCGCCAAAGACATCGGGGAAAAAACGGTGAAAAATCGGTTTTCATTTATCAAAACCTATCTCCTCCTAGAGTTTGAGAGCTAGACACTTGATTCATAGGTGGTTAGATTCCCTAAATGCTCCTCTTTAAAGCATCAAAAAGCTTTTTTTTAAAGTCCTTTTCCTGGCTGTGGAAAGTAGACGTTACTGGAAGACATCGAAAAATTCTGACCCTAATTCGCAATTTTCTCCATTGAAACTCAACCTTCACGCAATGAAAATATCATTCTGCCACTAAAGTCTGCTTTCCCCAGCCAGGAAAAGCTTTTTGATGCTTTAAAGAGGAACATTTAGGGAATCTAACCACCTATGAATCAAGTGTCTAGCTCTCAAACTCTAGGAGGAGATAGGTTTTGATA